CATATACATATTCATAGAGAAAGAAATATATTAGATAATGGAAGAGGAGTTACAACCTAAAGAAGGATAAGCTGTTCTCCAAAAGATAAAAACAGTAAAGGACAAACATCAGAATGAAAAGAAAGGGCAAAAAACAAAACAGGACCAATACAAATAGTATTCCAACGCCTTTGGATTGCAGAAAGAGGAATTTCCCTGAAGAAACCATGTGTTGTTGGCCACATAGAAGATAGGCACTCAATCCTATGCCACAAATTGGTAATAGTGTACAACCACTGCTTGAAAGTACAAGCATTTCTCTCTTGCAATAGAACCCAAACAAAAGTTAAATCAAGTTAAGCATGCATTAGGTCAAAGTTTTCTAGGAATACGATAAGGGCCCATAGCTCAAGCATGTAACTCTTTATCATGGAAAAGAGATCATTATGGCTTAATGGAACCACGGCATAAACACCAACCTTAAACTATTCTCCGAGCAATGCACATCACATGCCGATAGGACTCCTAAGAGGCTAATGGCAGGAGAAGTGTCGACTAACTCCTGACGGGTGTTTGAATTTCTAGATTAGGTTGATTAGTGCTGGCTGTTTTATGCTGTCCATGTGAGTTCTGTCTTACAATTTTCTGGTTGTTTGATTTTTGACTAAATCAGAGTCTTGTGATTTGAGAATTTGGTACCAAAATCAAGGGTTTGGCTCTGTTAGCAAATTGATCTGGCACTGTGGAATAAGGCATAGAGAGATATAAAAAAGAAAAGAAAAGACCTAATCCACAGTCAGAAAAATTGCTAACAACCACTCTCACATGATTTTTAGGCAGTCACTCAATAAGAGAATATCACTGTAGTTATTCATAGAGACTGAAAAATAATGTTGAATCACCCAGATATTGTGTGTATATTATCTAATAGGACTAGAATAAGTAAACATAAACAAAATAGCAGTCTAACTAGGAAGGAATAAAGTACAATAAAATTGTAATAATCCTATACTAGTTAGGCTCTTGCTAGTTACTAATAATAATCTAGGAAGGCATTCCAAATCCTAGGAGAACAGACCTTCCCATATAAATTTGATGGTTCCACATCACCAACTCCCCCCCTCGTGCCTCACTACTTTGAATTTTTTTGACATGATCTTCATGTCTACTCTTATTCCCAATCATGTTAATGAAACTGATGTGTGATTGGATGAAGAGGAGAGTGTGTGTGCATACATGCATGCGGATACATATATGTATGCATATCTAGAGTTCTAAGGCTTAAGTTTTTGTTTATCCTTCGTCACCTTTGGCCTTCATGATGTTATGACCATGGCCTGTTGTTGCCTCATGAATGTGTTACATATAGTAGTATCACCAGCACTATTTGATCAAATTTGCAGGGTCCTTTTATTTTTGGATTATTCATTAAGTTGCATGATTTTTTTTTTTTGTTTTTTTTTCCTTGAGACAGGATACGGTTAAATATGTTGAGAACCAGGTGCAGACAGTCGGTGCTAGTGTCAAGAAGTTCTATGCAGATGTAGTGCAAGATCTGCGTCCTCCACTTTCAGTAGATCCTATTAAAGTGGCAGCTGGTCCTGAATTGCCTGAGGAACAATATGTTTCTTTCTGTGCCTTTAAAGGGGAAAAACAGGGTGCAAGCGAAGAGGTGAAGGTTGATAATGAGAAATTATCCGAGGATTCAAAATCTGTCACTCATAAATATAGTCATGCACCAAATTACCATGGACTTTATGTTGGAGATAATACCTTCCAGCTGTCTTCTCAGATTCCTGATTTGTATTCAAGGCAGTATAGCCATGGGATTATTCGTAGAAAATCAAACTTGGGTATCAAAAGAATCTCCAGAAAAGACACTCTAGTTCCTTCTGTAACATCTGAGGCAGTTTGTTGCACTGAAAAGGATTTCAGCACAACGCAAGCAACATCCTGTAGTCTCTCAGAAACATGTAACCTGAAATCCAAAACCTCAGCCCCAGTTTCGGTTGAAGTTTCGAGGTGTAACCCAATAGAAGAAACCTCTAATGAGATTGAAAATGCAAGTGAGTGTAGTCCTGCTGCTTCAAACGAGATATCTTCTCCTGATATGAGACCATCCGGCAATTCCATTGGGGATAAACAATTGGAGACTGGATATTTCTGCTCTGGTAGATTATCAACAGAACCAAATGGTGACTATTTTCTTATGCCAACTTTTTTTTTTATCTATTATTTTCCTCACCTTTTTTATGTTTCCATTTGTCGTCTTCTGATTTGGCAGCTGTAGATCTTTGTATAAATGATGGGGTGGTTTCTGAAGCAGGATCATCTGTGGATATGGATGTACAGCATGATATATTACCTGATAAAGTTGTATTAGTGTCCTATCCAGGTATTGAGGATTTTACTTTCTCAAACTTAAGCGGTGACTGTTTAGAATATTGTTTTTGAAAAATTTGTTCCCTTCAGTTTGTGATAGTTTTATTTTCTAAACTCAATTATACATAAAAATATGGTCTAATATAAAAAAGTACCCATGTATTCTTACATTTGTATTAAATTGCATTATACATTTTTAATTTATCAATGTGCACCTCAAACTATCACATGACATCAAATTGTATGTTTTCTTGGTAATTTCTGTTAACATTTACTGTAACTACTTTTTTAGCAAATAAAAAGCATAATTAAAATGTAAAAAAGAAATGTGTCAGTGCCCCATCTCTTCTCTTTTCACCATGGTCTCTCTTCCTTCCAGTCTAAACCTCCAGGGTTTTCATTCATTCATTCATTCTTTCCTTTTCTTGATGTACTTCATTTTGTTTCTTCTTTCTTCCTTCCCCTCTTTTCTTCTATGCTTACTCTTTTTCCCCTGGCAGTACCTCCCTTTCTCACTCTTTCAATCATCAAACAGCAAGTTCTAAGTGAAAATATGTGGGGTATAACCACCATTCTTCGTCTGAACTTCAAGTACGTTCCAAGTTTCAGGCTGCCTTAGTCATGTAGACTTCAAGAAACCCATCAAATCAAAGAGTCAAAGAAGCTTTGTTATGCTTGTACAAAACTGAATTATAGGCAATAATATAGTCATTCCAGCAAAGCCTATTTCAAATCAGTCTTTGAGCAAACAAATTTAGTTCTTGCTTCAGTTACAATCCTCTCACAAAATCTTCTAGAAAAGCCTATATGTGTAAATTCAGTAATTCTAGAAGCATTTCCAATCTGTCCATTTTTTTTACATGATACAATGATTGACTTCTCCAAAAATTAAGTATTTTCCCGAAGGTAAGGTAGAGTTACTCCGGGTGTTATGCAAAAGGTCCAGTCATTGTATTTTGTCAAGTTCACTTACAGAAGTCTCTTTACAGCCATCTACATTTACAAGTTCTGCCAGAGAGGTAGCTGACTGTGCATTGTAGTGATATCAGAGTGCTTCTTTTGATATATGACTAGGCCTGATCAAACCCTGCAGTGTGGCAATATGCAGGCTTTTACCTCTTAGGTTGGTAACATGATTTGGTCAATAAGGTCAATCAATAAAACAAATTTGGTAACTGAGAAAGCTATTGATTCCTAGGATAACTTTTGCGATGTTGATCAATCTGTCTCGTAGTGTGCTCATGGTCGCTTGCTTAAATGTCTTTGTACCATTTAGTGGGTTCCCTGTTTGTTGTATCCTTCTAGTATCTGATGGCCAAGAATTGTTTAAAAGAATGTTTTTAAAACTATACTTGTCAGTATAAGTTACTGTGAAGACTTGATGTACATCTTCAAAAATGTCACGAGTGAAATGGCAGGACCATTGCAAAATCTTTGTAACAAGCAACAGAATGATTTTCTTGTTCTCCTACACTCAATGGTTTCTTCCTTCCTTGGAGGTTGCCTAAGGAGTCACTGTAGGCACATCTACAAACGCACTCCTGCTTGTACACAGTATTGCTACTTGCACAAATTGTATCCAATATTTAGAGTTACTAACTCCATTTAATTCTGTTGGAAAAGCAGATGCATGGACTAGAGATTCAATCAAGATAAATACTGCTGTTGAACAGGGAAGCGAAAACATTCAACAGCATAGTAAGAAACAGCTTGAAGAAAGCTGTGTTGTTGTGAGCAAAGATGATATTCATCATTTCCCTTCCAAGGAAGGAAAACGGAGGCCTTACAAAGTATTTTTCTGCCCCCTTTCTATGCACACAGAAGAAAATGAAGCCAAAATAAGAGAAAAAACTTTAGTTGCCTTTGATTGACTGTTTTTCTTTCTTTTTTCTTTGGTTTCAGAAGAAGGTCCACGATGCTCTCTCTTTAAGAATGAGATTAGGAAGGAAGAAGGAGTATGAAGAGCTTGCTGTTCAATGGCATGGAGATATTGCTACATCCCATGAAGAGTGTCGTGGAAATTCAAGTGCAAGCCTGGTAATGGTGAACACCAGAAGATCACCACCTCAGGATACCTGTGACTCTGAGTGGGAGTTTCTCTAAGATGCCAGTATGACAACTTGTATGTGAATAATTATTCGACTACAATGCTTCTGCAGCCCTCTCCTTCGGCTCTTAAATACCGACAACTGGAATTGCATGCTGATTAGACTGGCTGAAGTTGATAGAAGTGAAGAACAAGGTGAATAGAAAATGAAATACCATCTCCTAATCTACATTTGATAAATAATATTAAGCATCATTTTAAGTATGGCTGCACGCAATTTATGTTTTAATATTTAGAACTTTTTACGGTATAATACAATGAAGCCTGGTGGATAAGAATTATCAACTCGATGCCTTTACCACGTTCATGAAATCAATCACTATTTATTAAGCATAATATATCTTTTCTTATATAATGCTGTGGGAACTGGAGGATATTGTGATTTGTTCTCTGCTTCTTCATCCCGAAGGGAAACTGTTAATTCCCAGATTTTGTTCTGCTGCTGTGCTTTCTCACCTTCAGTAAGACCATGTTTGGCTTATGATCATGCAGAGTTTTGCACACAAGAGCTTTTCTTTTTTGAAAAATGTCTTAGATGGAAGAGGTGCACCGCCATGGATACATCTCTCTTACTTTGCCCTTTTTCTAAGTTGGCATGTAATATGTATTCAGTGATGGATCGGAAAAGAGGCTGGTTGGGATTGTTAGGAAAAAAACGCAATTAAGGTATTTAGGTGCTAATCTAAGAGTTGAACTCCTCTAAGATATGTTAGGCTTAATAATTTCAATAATTTAAAAGATTAATTTGACAATAATCTCAATAATTAATTGTACATGGGTATCTAAAACATGTATAATTTAATTTAAAATTAAAGTGTTATTTCAATTCAACTTATTAACTTATATATATATATACACATATATATATTGTTATCTATTTAATGGAATTGAAATTTACTTTGAACTGGTAGAAAGATATGAAGTGAAGATTCCATATTAGACAAAATTATCAGGAATCTTGAATGGCTTTGTATTGGACTGAGTTTTTACTTGTGTAATTTTGATAATTTTGATTTCCATATACAATAATCAATCATTTCAATCATACAATCAAATGTAGAAGTGCCTTCCTTCAATTTGTACAGATTCATGAGAATGAAGATAACCCAGAGGGCCAAAAGGGTTTTTAAGTGAAGAATTATATGTATGTATATTTGTATATACTAATAGCTAAGAGGTATCTAAGGCCATCAATGCATACAATAATCTGTTCCAAGTATCAGGAATTCCAGGCAAACACCAGTGACTGCAATCAGGGTGGTACTTCTTCTCCATCATCATCTTCATCTTCATCTTTATCTTCTTCGTCTTCGTCTCCATCTTCTCCTCCTGCAACTTCTGCGTCACCATAAACTTACCTATCTTTGTGGCATAATAAGAAGGGTGACCGTCTTTTCTATACTGGGAAAGCTTTGTGATGTTCAAATACTTTACCGGAGTCTTCATCTCTGTAATTGTTCTCTCAACGACATCTATGATTGGTCTGAAATATTTTGGCAGACGAGTCTCCTCCTCCTCCTCATCTTCATCATCTACTGGCTCTGTTTCATTGTAGCATTCTTCTTTTTTCCCTTTATGTTCTGGAGATAACCCTCTGAAAAATACTCTTGTTTTGTTTCTATCCACATTTTTCTCTACCCAACTCGCCCATGTCTTCATTCCCATCTCAAATGCTCTTTCAATCTCCATTTCCTTCACCACCTTCCTTCCATATCCATACATGTCCCACCTGAGATTTTCACATTATGTTCTTCAACTGATCAAATGGGTTAATTTGAATCATCATGATTTTACATATTTACAGTTCAAAAAGTTAACTTACGCTCTCAATCTTTCACCATGTAACCACCAGTGACCTGAGTTGAAAAGCATGATGTCTGCACCAACCCATTTTGAAGCAAATGGAGGAAGTCTATCAAGTTTCAGAATCCTGCTGCTGCTATTCCCCTGTTTCTTTTCTTCTACTTCCACCATAAGTGGGTTCCAGTAGAACTCAACTGAACATTTATAGCGCTGTAAAAGAAATTATATATAAGCCCATTATGGCATACATGCATATACATACAGAAAGAGGAGACGCATGTTTTCTTACAGTTGCTCTGAAGAGTTTATAATCATTTCTGTGAAAGTCAAGAATTGCTCCTCTGGGATGGATAGAAGAATAGAGAAGACAAGCAAGAGATTCCCATTGGTTTCTGTTAAGTGAGTCCCCAACTATTATCAATCTCTTCCCTCTAAGTCTCTTTAACATCTTCTTCCCATTAAACCTGTAAAAAAAAAAAAACAAAAGAAAAAAGGAACACCCAGTTCTTCTTTCTCTGTTTAAACCAGAAGATATATGCAGAGAGTTGAAAGTGAAGAAGAAAATTTACCTAGGAATCTTACACCCATGTGGTTGCCAACTCCATTTTTCATATTCAGAGTCAGGCCTTCCATTCCTTTGGCAGCTAACTTGGTCACTTAAAAATGGACATACTGTTGCATTGTATACAGGATTTGACTTAGGATCATAAACCCATTTTCCATTAAACACATTGCATTTTTCTTCTTCTTTTTTCTGTCTTTCTGCTCTTGAAACTTGTTTTTCCAACATGTTCAACTCAACCCATGACTTTGCTTCCCTTATATTCTCTGTTAAGTTTGATGGGTTCAACAGTTTTGGCGTGCTGCTGTTTGAGAACAGAGCAGAAGAAGAAGAAGAAGAAGAAGAAGAAGAAGAAGAAAGAGTTAAGTTTAAAGGATGAGCAAACAGCAAGCCAGACAAAACAGGAAGTTGATCATGAAATGTTTGATTTTGGAGAGATGAAAATTTGGGTTTGTTTTGACCACCGTAATCATAGTTGAAGAAAACAATGATTACAACAATGAAACTTGCAGAAGTGCAGAGCCACCATTTTTGCTTGAGGGTGAAGCAAGAGTCCATGACTGACTGATAAAACTCCTCAGAGTTCTAACTAAACTATAAAAGGGTTGCAATAGTTACTTATGGTTCGTGGACCAGCAAAGTCTTTTGGGCGGTAACAGAGAATATACTAAATACTTGTAGGACATGAAAATTCCCAAAATACCCTTTATCCAGGTACTCAAGTTAAGGGTATAGTTTGGTTTGTTGTGTTGTGATAGGCTTAGTGTGGAAGGCAAATGGTGTGAGACTGAGGGTATTGTTGTAAATTCACATAAAGTCATTAGAGGTAGATTTGTTGTAATTTCATATAAAATGTATTTTTAAAGTTGATAAATTTAAATCTTACTGAAAATATAAAATTCGTGTTATTTTATTAGTATATTATATTTATTATAATTTTATATAAAATCATTATAGATACTATTAAAGTTAATAAATTTAAATTTTATTAAAAATATAAAATTCGTTATATTTTTATAAATATATTATATGTTATATTTGTTGTAATTTTACATAAAATCATCAAAAAATACTATTAAAATCAGTAAATTTAAATATTAATGAAAATATAAAACTCAATACTTTATAAATATATTGTGTGTTTTGTATTATATTTGAATCAACAGAATCTATAATTAATTATTAGGTATGTTGTTGGAACTGCAACAACTAAATTAAGTTTTAATTTTAACGAACATTAATGTTTTCGAACAAAATAAATATTTTATAATATGATAAAATATTAAATTTAAGTTTTTTTTTTTTAAAAAATAATTTATAAAAAGAAATATCTATATTTTATTAATTATATATAGTGTTTAGGTGGGATTTTGCTAATGGCCATACTTATTAATTGAGAGGTAGATGTAACAAATCAGACTTTACAAAACTTTTTGTAGAACTTAAGATTTATAAAACCATTATGTATACAATCTATAACTCCATCACATTCCCCTTCTACTACCATCTTTATATATATATATATATATATATATATACATATACATATATATTCATTCCTAAATAGTAATAAACCAAGCCTTGAGTGCTTAACAAATTTAGCCATAAAGCAAGGAATCATATGTGTGCACATACAAATTTAAATTTTAATGGAGATTATTAATTAACATTTTAGGTTATCACAAATATTTTTGTTGATTAAGTTATAATTACACGTTAATAATAATATAATTATTGATCATATTAAACTCTTAATAGTGATACGTAATAAAACTAAAATTTTTTAAATTCACATTCTATACAGACAAAAATATTAAATATTTAACGAATGAATGGTCTGTAAATAAAAAATTAAATTAACTAAGAAATTTTTAAAAAATAGTTAAAAAAATTAAACAATATATTTCAACTATTTTAATTTTTTTTTTCATTAGAAAATAACTAAACATTTTAAATAAATAAAAAATTAAATTAAAATGAAAAAAAAATATTTAAAAAATAACTAATAAAAATTAAGAAACACTAAGAATTTGTGGGAAGAGAAGATATAAAAAGTTTATATTCAATCTAAAGGAGATGCAGATACATAACAATCTACAGTCTATACACACACAATGATAAACTCGTTCACTTATCGTTATTTAATTAATTATTTATTTATTACGATTTAATTTAATTTAATTTTTTATAATTATTAATTAATTTATAATTTAACTCTTACCTAATAATTTATGATTTTGCGTAATTTTAAATTATTATTATTATTTTATAACCACATCAATAATTTACATGACATGCAAGTATCCTAATTAATGGTCTGGACTGTGTTTTATTTTTAGCTTGTTATTTGACTTCCCTTCCACTGTAACCTGCAACTTACTTTATATATGTACATATATGTATATGTATATGTGTATGTGTGTGTGTGTATATATATGTATATGTATATTATGAATTTCCAGCTCTATAATACATTAAAAGCTAAGCTCATCAGGTAGGTTAATGCTACAAATATGCATATGGGTTTAAAACTCTAAACCAGAGTATAACGTTGAGCGAATGGGACAAAACAAAGAAGGCAACCTACGACTGGACTTTCCCTATGAAAATTATTTTTTTCCAATTTATAATATATACATATATATATATATATATATATATTATACAGGTCCACAAAAACCAAATCTCAACCCCACCCACTCCCACTTCAATATATATATATATATATGTAGATATATATATATATATATACATACATGGGGCAAGGAGAATTGTTACGTAGGTAGCTGATGTGAAGGAGAAGGTGGAATATATCAAATCAAATTTTGGGGATTTAATTTTACTTATTGGTAATAAATTATTTATGTTTGTTATTAATTTATTAATTAAACGTGAATAGAAAATATTGAATATAAAATTATAATTAAAAAAAATATTATACAATAAATTATAATAAATATCAAAATTAATAATTTATTCTAAAAAATTATAATAATTTTCTGCCCGTTATCTTCTCTTTTCTCACCTGTATTTGCAGAGAAACGGCGCCGTTTAGGTACCAAAAGGCTACTAGAAACGGTGCCGTTTGAATGATGGGCCGAGAGGTTGGGCCCGAGCTTGGACTTGATTGAAACGGGTTCTACATATACTCTTATTGGGCCTGAAGCTGATAGTTCATTTTCTCTTAGGGTTCATGGCTCGGTTATGGACGCTCGGTTATGGAGCCCCACTTGGCGGGTTGGCATATAAAAACACCCATTCTGTAAACCCTAAATTTCTCTAATCCCCAATTCACACACGCACACTGCACTGACTCGTAAGTTGCCTCCTTGACGGCGAGAGCAATAGCTGATCCAGCCACATGAAGGCATGCAACAATCTGAAAACTCTGATTTTATCTGCAATTGCTGTGTTTCTGTTCTTCAAAGTTTTATCTTCAGTAATTCGCATTTTGATATTCCTTTCTTTTTTTTTTTTTTTTTTTTTGCGGTGCAGTTCAATATTGCGAATCCCACCACTGGCTGCCAGAAGAAACTGGAGATCGATGACGATCAAAAGCTGTAATTTTATCCCCATCTCTCATCTCTCTATGTTGTTGAGTCTTGCGTGTCTCTTGTTTTGTTTCTCTGAAAATTTTCAAGCAAGTAATTTGATTATATT